GCAATTGTGAGCACAGGGTTGTCCGCCCCCCCCAGGGATGCCGCTGTTCCCCCAGCCCAGCAGGCACCCCAGCTCCGGTCAGGGCCCCAGCCCGCTCCAGGCATCCCGCAGCACTTGCGGGGAAGCAGTTAAGGCTCCAAAAGCCAATTTCCTGAGGATGGTGCATGCAGCTTGGCCGTGGGGCTGTGCTGCAGCTCCAGCCAGCTCTCGTGCCGGAGCCAGCTGGGGTTTCTGGGGCGGTTTGATGGGGATGGACACAGGGGTCCTGAGGATGCTGCAGTCACCCTGCCGGGGATGGAGCCTGGGGGTCCTGCAGAGACATTTCAGAGAAACTTTTTCTAGCCTGAAAACCCTGAAAGGGGGGGGTCAGAGCTGAAGGGCAGTGGGTTTCTCACTGACTGGTGAGCTGTTGCCTTGAAAATACAGAGATGAGGAGACAGGGAAGGGGAGGAGGTTGGGCCATGCACACACTGCTGCAAACCCATGTCTGCCCTGCACACTTCTCAGTCACTTCTGTGACCCCCTCCCGTTCTGTCCCTTCATGCCAGCCCCACGGTTCTCCCCAGCAGTCCCCTCTGCCATCCACATCTCACCGTCCCTGTGTCCCTAACGGGCTCCCCGGCTGTTGCTTGCAGTTGAAGACGGCGAGGAGGGCTGCGAGGTGAACGGCCGGGTCTATCGGGACGGGGAGGTTTTCCAGCCCAGCTGCAAACTCCAGTGCCGCTGCCTGGACGGGGGCTTCACCTGCGTCCCGCTCTGCCAGGAGAATGTCCGTCTGCCCACCCCCGACTGCCCCTACCCGCGGCGTGTGGAGGTCCCAGGGAAGTGCTGCCCAGAGTGGATCTGTGAGGCCCGAGACCAGCACCTCCTCCGGGATGCCAGGGCAGGTAAGACGCAGGACATGCCAGTGAGGGGATGCTCACGCAGGTGTCTGGGGATGGTCCCTTCACTCCAGGCCACGAACATTAACAGGCGACACCTCGTTGCACGTTTCCCCGTCATGCAGGGCTATGCCCACAGCACCCGCAGGGCACGCTGCACAGTGCTGGCTCCAAACATTTCTCGTCTCTTTTCATCCAGCCCCTGGGCCAGCCTCCCCACCGCTGCCGTACCCCTGCCAGGAGTGGGGCACGGAGTGGAGCGCCTGCTCGGCCACCTGCGGCGTGGGCTTTTCTACCCGCATCTCCAACCAGAACCACTACTGCAGGCTGGAGACTCAGAGGCGGCTCTGCATGGCCAGACCCTGCCCGGCTCTGCCGGCAGCATCCCTGGCGGTAAGTGAGGGCCTTGATGAAGCAGACACCTCTGGGCAAAAGGTTTGACTGAGAAAGGGAAATGCCAGCCAACACGAGCCATGGGACCCCCCATTACCTGTGGGCACCCTGTCACCCCTCCTCAGCCATGACCTGGCTGTGTCTCAGGGACAGATAAACCGTCTCCTGAAACTGCGCTTGGAAAACGGCTGATAGTAGGTGCAGACCTGAATTTTGGGGTGTCTGGATGTCTGAATCCAAGAGCACTGTGGATCCCACATAACCCTGAGCCCCACAGGTGGGTTTGACCTGCCCCCTGTGGCTGGAGATGCATTTGCTGTCTGGGTGCACCCGAGAGGCAGAGCTCTGCCACCCCTTTGATTAGCCTGGCACAGCCCTGGTGCGGACACAGTGCAAAACCGCCTTGCTCACATGCAGCCAGGCACCCACACTGCCAAGTGCCCCGGCTCCTTAGATGTGGGGGGGACACCACCCCCCTGCTCCATCTCCCCGTCACTCTCTGCTCTGCCTTTCCAGAGGGGAAGAGGAGGTCGTTTGTAGCTGTGCCCACCCCGGTCACATCCCGGAGCCAACGCCTCGTCCCGGCAAAGAGTCTGGCAGAAGCCCACGGCACTGTGATTTTGGTGGAGAAGGAAGAAGCATCCCTTGGGAAACCAGGGAAGAACTGATGGACTTTGGCTGCAAAGGAGGGTGGAAATAGAGAACAAGATCCCCATGTCACACAGCACCTGCCCCCTCTGTGCACCCCGCTGCCCCAGGCAGGGTTACAGGGTAGCATCCCTGAGTTTCTTAGGCTGAATGAATTGGGAAATGGGGAAGCCATGCCATGAGCATGAACCCATCCAAGAAACTGGGAATTGGTCCTTTCCTGGATCGTTGGGACTTTTGGAGAGGTGATGCTACTCCTCCGCCACGTCACCCACGCAGATCTGCTCTGCAGGGGCTGCGAGAGAGACCACCTCCAGCACCGGGACACGTACATCACTGGGGTGGCCCTCGCACCCCAGCCTGCCGGGATAGGAGTGGGCACTTCAGGCCGCACCCCACAAGTCACCGCCACACCAGGCTGCGCAGCTCAACCCTGCACGAGCTCTGCCATCCCACGCTATCCACCCCGCAACGCAGCAGCCGCCTTCCTGGGCATGGGCAGAGGCGTCCTCCTGATGGCAGCTCTAATTCACTTCCCCACGTCTCTCCAGAATAAACACGAACCTTCCTGCTCCGCCTGGCCTCCTCCTCTCCAAAGCGCTGGCGGTTTGGCAGAGCTTCGGCGAGCGAGGAGCTCAGACGCAGGAGACACCGCTCCGCAGCACCAGACATACCGCCTGCCATCCAAGCACAAACCCCATGAGCCAAGGCCAAAAGAAAAGCGGAAAAAGAGAAAACAAATAGCAAAGATGAGTCGGGGCTGTCTCCCGACAGGCTGGAGCTGCTCCAGCTATGCAAGAGTCGGCGCAGGAGAGCTGCTCGGCGGCGCTGCCTTTATTTTCTCACAGTGATAATCCTTCTGAGTGATTGAAAAATGAAACCCAAATGCCCTCTAACGGCCTCGCACATGCGTGCAGAGGGAATGCACGTCCCATGGCAGGGCGAGACGGGCAACTAGAAAGGAGCAGCGGTTTAGATGACTTGTCCGGGGGATATCTGCACAGTTTAGATGTGTATTTGTGGAACTGAAAATAAAGATGTGCTCATCTAGGTACGGAGCTTGTCTGGGCCTGTCTGTGCGGGGTGAGCCCGGCTCTGGTGTGCCCTCGGGAGTCCCGCTGCTCACGGCCAGCTCGGCTGTTGGAGGAAAGGTCTGACCCAGCACGGGGCAGCTTGGAGGCAACTCAGTTCAGGCTGCTTAGAATAAGAAGCAAACAAACAAACTTGAATCAAAGCACTCAAAATATTATTACAGTATATTATATCCTGGATTAAATTTTGCCCCTTTGTTTTTATCCAGCTCCATCTGCTCTGCCGACAGGACCGACCCTGGCCATAGCGGTGCCCGGGTCCCCCCTCACTGCCAGGCTGCGATGGAGAGCAGGGCACGGCACTGGCTGCGCTACTGCAGGGTCTGCAGCCCCAGCACAGCCAGGTCATGCCTCTTCTCAGTCTCCCAAAAACCAAAGCCCAAATTCTCCCCCTGTAATTCATCCCTCCTCCCACCAGTCTCACACCTCCTCCACTCACCCCAAACCCCGACTTCCCCGGCATCATGCCACCATGGTCACCAGCTGACTGTCCTCCCGACCCAGGCCAATGTGGTACCAGGGCAGATTCGGGGGTGCAGGAGCAGAAGGTTGAATGGCAGAGGGAGCTTTTCTCTCCTGCCTGGGGGAAAAGCCTCCCACAAGCAGCACAAAAGGCAGCAGGGCCAAGGCACCCGCTCGCCCGCTCCCCTGGCCCCTGCAAGTGCTGAAAATAAAATTAAAGTCAAGGATGCTTTTCAGTCACCTCTTGCGGGGTGTAAAAGAAAAAAAAAAAAAAATCTCACTGCTCACGCAGTAAAACATTGCTTACAAAGAGAATTATTTACTGTGATCATCTGGTGCCCTGCCCAAATACAAATCATTAATTCAGTTTGATACAGGGGATGCTGGCAGGCAGCAAATCGCAGAATTAACATGGCCATTGTTGGCTTTTTTACTTCTGCAATGGCCGTGCCAAAAAAGTGGTGGCACGAGGCTCATGTAGATGTTTAAAACCGCAATGTTCCTCAACTGACATAGATAAGACATGTTCTGTGTACTAAAAATCCTGGGTTTAAGCCAGTTCTTGTTTGAGCACATTGGGCCATGGCCACCAAGGCTGGGTGAGCTCCTGGCAGGGAGTGCTGCCAGGGCTTTCACCCCCTCCCAAATCCTGACCATACTCCTCTGGGTGATGGGAAAAATCAAAGGTCACTTTTTAAGCAGCAACCTGTAATTCTCATCTCAAACAGAAATGACTCAGCGCACCTTTACTATAATTTTCTTTTTTTTTTCTGCAAAATGTCATTTCTCCCTGATTCACTAAGCAGAAAACATCTAAATAATGAATTAATGAATCCAAATAAGTCAGAGTTATTTTTCCCTAAGAATACTGAGAAATCAACTCTTACAATTTGATTGCCAGTCTCACAATATTTGCTGTTCCCTCTAAAGCCCTGCTACCCTGGAAACACGTGGGTATTTGAGGATCTGGTTTATTGTAGCCTCTGCCACAGCAGGTCCTGGGCTTTGCCTGCTCTTGTGGGGCAGCAGATAAACACTGCCATCCACAGATGATTATGGTCACCTGTAAAGGTAAAAAACCCCAACAAAACCAAATCCCAAAACCCCCCAAAAACCAGAAGACAACTCACCCCAGTCTTCAAGGCATGCTACCATATCTGCAGAGGTAAATGGCATGTGATTTGATAACATTCTATACTCCCGAACCAGCGGTGAGCAACAGATCACAGCTCATTTCAGTGCAAGCACACAGAACAGCTGAAGGAGAAACTGCATGCCGCTGTATGACTAAACAACATGCATCAGAATTGTTTTTCCAAGCCATTCTCATGACTGATGATTTTTGAAAGCATGGAGTTGGCTGAGATAGGGCTGGATGAGCCCCTCATTAAAGCTAAATGTTGTCACATGCCTCTCTGAGCACAAGAGTGCAGTGCTCAATAAAAAAAAGAGTAGATCAAGGTGCTTGCTTTGCTGCTGGAGAAGAGCCTTGAATTGGTTGCCTGAAAGCCCATCGCTCAGGTTCTGTGTCTGCTACTTGCAGGAGCTATCGCAGGGCAGCGCGAGGGCACAGGGCTGGATGCGCTGGCAGCAGCATTGCTGCCGCGTGCCGGAGCTGGGAACGGAGGGACCGTCCCAATACAGGATATTCAGGCAGAGCTGGGCAGTAGCACCTCTATCGCGAGTGAAATCGCGGGTAAAGAGAACACCTTAAATACACACAAGGCAGGCACGAGAGAGGCGCCGTGCCGCTGCGTGTGCATCTGCAACAGGGAGTAGGAGATGAGGAGGGCATGGGGCTGCAGCTGAGCATGGGCAGTGATCCCTGTGCCCTGCCCTGCTCCTCCCTTCCCATGGCAGGAGGCACCCAGCCCCAAGCCTTCATTCTGGGGACAGAGATGAGAGCAGCTTGTGACCCTTCCCGTGATTACAGCAGTCTTCCCAGCCAGCTGCTGTCTCTGCCTCAGTTTCCCCAATGGTTGATGCTCTGGGACAAAGGAAAACCACTCCCAGTTTGTTCTTCTTGTCTCACTGCACTTCCACAGCTCCACAAAGTTGCTCTGTAAGTGCCATCCCAACCCCAGGCTGCAGAAGCAGCTGAAATGCATGGAGGCAAGGGGGCAGGAGCAGGGCAGGGCAGGATGGAGGACTGCTTTCCTGAGGGGTGAACCCCCATGGACCCCCTCCTCTGCTGCTGCCACTCCAGGAGCACAGACCCACCAGAGCCTCTGCAAACCCCAGAAAAGCCACATCCTCGCCTAATGCAGAGAGCCTTTACGTTTCACCTCTCGGAGCATGCCCATAGGGGCTAGATTTTATCACATAGGCAGGAAATAACATACAGCCTTTCCCATCCCTTATCTGCCCCAGCAAGCACTTTTTGGAGTCTACACACTGATACAATAAGCAGCTACCACCACCCCATGTTTTGGGCTTCCCCATGTCAGCTCTGACCTGCCGTGCCCGAGCACGGTCCAGCGGGGATGTTCCGCTGCTCCGAGGAGGGCAGGGTGGCTCGGCACGACTCGCCCCTTCCTTCCCTGCTGATGGGTGAGACATCAGCCTCTTCCTACCCCCACATGCCCCCTCCCCACCACCGGATTGAGTTCCAGGAAAGCAGATGGCCTTCCTGGGCCCAGCCCTTCACCTGAAGCTGTTTTGCCAAGGTCATTTCCTTATGGCTTGCCAGGGTAAACCCTCTCCCTTCTGATTGCTAGCATGTTTACTCCTGCACCTGGAGATAAAGTTATTTCTGGCCTCATTTACACGGCAGCAGCTGCTCAGCAATGCAAACAGGGG